GCAGTTTGCCATACAGTTGCAAGAAAAAGTATGTGAACCCCTTACATGGAGTTTTGCATGAATTGGGCATAAAATGTGCTCTGAACGTCATCTAAGTCACAGCAATAGAAGAACACAGTCTGCTGAACATAATACTACACAAACATTAGATGTTGCCATGGTTTAATTGCACATAACATGTAAACATTCACAGTGCAGGGAGGAAAAAGTATGTGAGGCCCTAGCTTAATGACTTCTCCCAGAGCTAATTGGAGCCAGGAGTGAGCCAATCTTGACTCCAATCAGTGTGATGATATTGGATGTGTTGCTGACAGCTGTCCTGCCCTTAAAAAACACACACCTGTTTTGGGTTTACTGGTTTCAAGAAGCACTGTCTGATGTGAACCATGCCTCGCAGAAAAAAGCTCTCAGAAGACCTACGATCAAGAATTGTTGACTTGCACGAAGCTGGAAAGGGTTACAAAAGTATCTCCAAAAGCCTTGATGTTCATGTGTCCACGGTAAAACAGACTGTCTACAAATGGAGAAAGTTTAGCACTGTTGCTACTCTCCCTAGGCGTGGTCGTCCTGTAAAAATTACTGCAAGAGCACAGCGCAGAATTTTTAAATGCATGAGGTAAAGAAGAATCCCAGAGTGTCAGCTAAAGACCTACAGAAACCTCTGGCACATGCTTACATTTTTGTTGACAAATCTACAATAAGGAAAACATTAAACAAGAATGGAGTACATGGGAGGACACCACGGAGGAAGCCATTGCTGTCCAAAAAGAATATTGCAGCACGTTTGAAGTTTGCAAAAGAGCACCTGGATGTTCCACAGCACTACTGACAAAATATACTGTGGACAGATGAAACCAAGATTGAGTTGTTTGGGAAGAACACACAACATTATGTGTGGAGAAAAAAGGCACAGCACACCAACATCAAAACCTCATCCCCACTAAACATGGCGGAGAGAGCATCATGGTTTGGGGCTGCTTTGCTGCCTCAGGGCCTGGACGGATTGTTGTCATTGATGGGAAAATGAATTCCAGAGTTTATCAAGACATTTTGCAGGAAAACGTACGACCATCTGTCCGCCAACTGAAGCTCCGCAGAGGATGGGTGATGCAACAGGACAATGACCCAAAGCATACAAGTAATTCAAGAAAACAATGGCTGCAACAGCACAGAATACGCCTTCTGGAGTGGCCCAGTCAGAGTCCTGACCTCAACCCGATTGAAATGCTGTGGCATGACCTTAAGAGAGCGATTCACACCAGACATCCCAAGAATATTGCTACACTGAAACAGTTTTGTGAAGAGGAGTGGTCCAAAATGACTCCAGATCATTGTGCAGGTCTGATCTGCAACTACAGGAAACATTTGGTTGAGGGTATTGCTGCCAAAGGATGGTCAACCAGTTATTAAGTCCAAAGGTTCACATACTTTTTCCTCCCTGCACTGTGAATGTTTACATGTTATGTGCAATTAAACCATGGCAACATCTAATGTTTGTGTAGTATTATGTTCAGCAGACTGTGTTCTTCTATTGTTGTGACTTAGATGACGTTCAGAGCACATTTTATGCCCAATTCATGCAAAACTCCAAATAATCCCAAGGGGTTCACATACTTTTTCTTGCAACTGTATGTAAGTCTTATTTAGCTGCTGTGCTGATCCAGTGGCTTTTTTCCCTGAAAAACTGACAAATATGCAAATCAGGAAAAGTCAGAGAAATAGTTTTTATCTGCATACCTTTTCCAGGTCAGACACTCAGTTTTTTAAAGTCAGAGGTTATCGTAAGGGGAACCAGAAAATTAGCATTTTCATAAGGAGAGTTTAACAATGGCAGTCTTCATGTTTCTTTACCAGGTTGGGCATCAGAGAGGCACAAGTACCGTAGTTAAATACAGATGTGCTGTTATACCATTGTTTTCTCTTTTAATTCTTGTGTTTTTCTTCTTTATTGATGTCCCATCCTTCCTGTCAATCATACTCCCAGCTCCTTCATAAAGTGTATGATAATTTATGCAATAGCAGTAGTTGACTGTGCATGTTTTTACCTCCTTCAGACGGCACAGCACATGTATAATTTGGCACGCTACCCATCCTCTTGGATGTATGGGATTTTATAGGGTTGAACTGTAAAACAGATAATCAGTATTCACTGAAGTAGATATGAATAAGAGAGACAAAGGTTAACTGAAAGTCACACACAGCTATTACAGCTCAACCTAAAGAAAATTTATATTGCTTTAGGTTCAGTTTTACATACATTTAAGTTTATACATTTTAAACTGAGGTTTAAACCTTTTTCATTATTTATAAAAAAAAAAAAAATCAATGTTAAACAAAAATGTATTAAAAAGACAAGTGCACTTTTAATTACTCATAGTGGGCAATATTGCTCTCCCCCAGCATCCCCGACAAACCATATACCTGACACTGATCAGTGGGATATATTTTTGTTGTACAGCCTGCTCAGCACCACACAGCCTTCAAACTTTTCAAAATTAGGCTTTGCTCCTTCTGCAGATGTATAATGTAATCTAAATGATACCTGTGCATAGTACAGTGTTTGTCCCAATAAAAGTGAACAAGATCAGAGATGTGCTGCTGCAGCTTAATATTTTTTCTTTATTTTGGGTGTTCCAGTATTGCGGTTTTACCTTTACTGAATAAAGTGACTTACCGTATATAGGAATGCCTTTTCTCTTCAAAAAACATTGCCTGTAATGTGTCAAGCTGGAATAAAACACATTGGATTCTACATTTGAGTCTTCTTTGTGAGTTGACACTGCACATGGATCTTGTCAGGTCAGCAAGTTGCCCTATCAAAATTACAGGCTGGGTCTCTGGAAACAGTTTTTTTTGCTGAGTAGCTGAGAAATATCTTGTATTGTATAGTTCTGTGAACTGCCCACGTGTAGGTATAAACTGTGGTGTGGCTATATTTACTTTGAAAGTGCATCAATATAGAAAAAGTGTAGCACAACTAAAATGTGTATAATCCAATATAAATGTGCAAAAATAATATATAATTTTTTTTTCTTTAAAAAAGGGAAATGCATGTAAATGCATCAAACACAATAGATGATATAACTGATAGTTTGAATAGATAAAGTGCAATGAATAATCCAATATCAAATGTGCAAAAAATGTTTTTAAATAAAAATGGCAAACGCATGTAAACACATAAAACACAATAAGTGATATGACTGAGGTTATGAACAGAGATAATGTGCAATGAATCCCAACCTCCCTTTTATAAAATATATATATAGAAAGAGAAAGGGAGAGAGAGAGAGCTTAATATTTCATGACCCCCTATAAGCTTCATAAATACTAAAAAACACATGTAAACACATACACATTAACCTCCCTGGCGGTATTCCCGAGTGTAGCTCGGGGTAACATTTCAGTACCAAAGCGGTAACCCCGAGCTACACTCGGGAATACCATGCGGCGCTGCTCCGGCATGTGTTCTTCACTTACCTTACCCTGCGCTCCCACGATGTGTCCCCTGCAGCGTCCCCGGCCATCTCCTCCGGCCGATGCCGGCATCCGGCTTCTGTGTCCTGTCCCTGTGACGTCGGGACGTACGGGCGCCGCCGGCGGCGGCAAATTTTAAAAATTTTAAAAAAATGTCATTTTTTTTTTTTTTCATTTTACACAGTAAAACATTGCTGTTTCAACCTATTTCACATACATATTGTCCCGAGTGCTTTGTCCTGCGCCCTGCCTGCATTTTGTCTGTTCTTTCTGCCTGGAAACTGAGAAATGTCCCATGGCGTCCAAAAAGTGTCCCTTTAGGTCAAAAGCGGTTTTAGATCAGCTAGAGAACAGCGATAGTAAATCAGAACCACTTACAGAATTGAGTGATAATGATTCGTGGGGGAAATTCGTCATCAGAAACTGAAAACGATTTTGCGACTGAGCTCAGCAATGTGCGAACTTGGCGCTATATTTCACATTTCAGTGTTTTTGGTTTGATTATATTATTGAATTAAATTTTTTATTATTTTTTATATTATTTTTATGATTATTTATTAAATTATAATTTATGATTTTGTGTTTCAAATTTTATCATACCCGGGATGTTTACTAGACTCTTGTTCGGGACAGATTTCAGACTGAGTTTTTCCTAAAAAATTACAGCCTACAATAAAAAAAATACATATTTCCATGCAAAAAAAATGGTACCGCTTTCAGCACCAAAAATCTGAAATAATCATACCGCCAGGGAGGTTAAACTAATATCAACAAATGCAAACAGCTAAATTCATAAAAAGTCCCAGAATATCCAGTGAGAAATTTCTTTCTGGAAATATTGTGTTTTGTGACATGTATATGTCATTCGTGGGCAATATAAAATAACTGATGTGCTCCACCACAGTCAACCATCACCTTCACCTTCCAGGTTTGACCCACATAAAAGGTAAGGTCAAACCAGGGGCGGACTGACAACTCATGGGGCCCCCGGGCAATAGGGGATCATGGGGCCCGTGTCCACGCCCACACTCAAACCACACCCAAAAAAGCCTATGAAAAGGTACCAGGTACCCTGGGCCCTCGGGCAGTGCCCGAATTCCCCAATGGTCAGTCTGCCCCTGGGTCAAACACGCTTTCCCAACACTCTGGATGTAACAATTGGCAAAATTCCTCAAATTCACTTGTAATAGGTAAGTGTAACATTAACCTCCCTAGCGGTATGATTATGTCAGTATTTCTGTGCTTAAAGCGGTACATTTTTTTGCATGGAAATATGTCGTTTTCTTATTGTAGGCCTGTACTTCTTAGGAATAACTCACTGAAATCTGTTCGAACAAGAGTCTAGTAAACATCCCGGGTATGATAAAATTTGAAACATGAAATCATAAATTATAATATAATAATCATAAAAAATAATAATATAATAATAATACATTTAATTCAATAATATACTCAAACCAAAAACACTGAAATTTGAAATATAGCGCCAAGTTCACACATCACTGAGCTCAGTCGCAAAATTGTTTTCAGTGTCTGATGGCGAATTTCCCCACGAATCATTATCATTCAATTCTGCAAGTGGTTCTGATTTACTATCACTGTATTCTAGCTGTTCTAAAATGCTTTTTGGATGCCATGGACTTTTCTCAGTTTCCAGGCAGAAAGAACAGTAAAAATGCAGGCAGGGCACAGGACAAAGCACTAGGGACAAAATGTATGTGAAATGGTTTGAAACAGTAATGTTTTACTATGTGATTTTAGTGTATTAGTGAATGTCACTTTTTAAAATTTTTAAATTTCCCACCGGTTCTGGCCCCCGTACGTCCCAATGCTCGCAGGGACCGGAACCCGGAAGACGGATGCCGGCATCGGCAGGAGGAGATGGCAGGAGATGCTGCAGGGGGGACATCGCGGGAGCGAAGGACAAGGTAAGTGAAGCAGGGAATCCCAGAGCAACGCTGCAGTGTAATCCTGAGTGTAGCTCGGGGTTACCACTTTTGGCACTGATAATTAACCCCTAGCTACACTCGGGAATACCACCAGTGAGGTTAAGATCGCAAGACTCCAACTAAATCAATGTGAAAAACAAAACAAAAAATATCTCATGGTGCGGTATCAGAGTAACCTGATATTGTTTATTAGAAGATTAAAAACACTCACAAGTACGGTGCACTTGTAACATCCAGTGCAATAGATTGATTGCTTGTTTACATTTACATTCCAATAGTATATTTCTGGAGTAGTGTCTAAAATGGCCGCATTCACACATTTGGGCGTAATGATGTCTAGTGGCCCCCTCCTTTGATGCGTTTCGTCATAGGAAAAAAATGTGCACGTTATCTATTCATATCTGCATAAATGTGCATACCACAAACATATAAATAGAATACAGGTGATACACAAATCAAGTGAATAATTCCACAAAAATCTGCATTAATGTGCATACAAAATTATATAAATGGAACACAGGTGATCTGCACATTTATGCAGATATTTAGTTTATTTATTAGCGCTACACCATTATATATATTGCTTCCGATTGCGCAACGGATCAAATTCAAAATCCTAACATTGACTTACAAAGCCGTCCACCATACTGCCCCGAACTACATCACTGACCTAATATCCAAGTACCACCCAACACGCACACACCGCTCCTCACAAGACCTCCTTCTCTCTAGTTCCCTGGTCTTTTTTTTTTTTTTGGGTTGTTCTTTGGTGGTAGGTCATGGTAGTAACAAGAAACACACAGCTAAATAAAAAAATTTTTTTTTACTATTTTGGGACAGTTTTCCTTTGATAATAAAAATAAATCATGAGATATCCATTACCATTTACTACCAAATGAAAGCCCAATTTGTCCTGAAAAAAAATGTGGTATAATTCACCTGGATGTACACATTAGTTGTGATGATATGTACGGTTTTACTAACACATGTCAACGTTGCAAAATTGTGCTTAGGCATTTAGATTTGTTTTACCCTTAGGCGTGAAGGGGTTAATATGGTCATGAAAAAATGCTGAATCTGCTTATTCAACAGTGGGCCACCCCACTGCATTTCCCTCTTTAAAATAATCTTCTGTTGGGATCCTGGGAATGATGACAAACTCCCCAGGGAATGGTGGTAAAAAGTGTTGGGTAGGGTTAGCGTGGTGCGGCAGCAGAAAGCACACAGAGTCTCTGGTTGCAGAAAGCGATGTATTGCAAAACTTGAAACCGGTATAATAGACCAGGTGAGGAGGCTCTCTCATCTAGGGCACTTACAACAGTTTCGAGTCAGTAGTGTGTAGGCTTGAGTTGAAGACCATGTTTGTCAAGGAGAGCAGAATGTGGCCTGGCCGGTCCAACCCCATGGAGAGTCTGCTGAAGATCAGACATAGGCCCTATGCTTTTCCTACTCCTCAGGAACCTCTCCCTACCACTAATGTTGTCCCTGACAAACAGGTGATCTGTCTCTGCATTAGTCACTCACATGAAAGCATGCCAAAATCCAGCTGCAGGGATTTTAAAAGACCCTGCTGACCCAAGATGGACACCAGTGTCACCTGGATCCAGTATAACCAGCCGGATAGCTGTTCAAGGGGACCAAGGAAACCAAAGGGAAACCCAGTCTCTATTGGCCTACTCCTCCAGCTGCACTACAGTTCTGGATGAGCGCCACCTACAGTGGAGAATGTAGACTGCACCTGGTTGCAAACTCACACTGTGCTGGAGCAGCTTCAAAATGTTCACATTTTATTTTGGAGTGAATGGACTTTCGCCCCCAAAAAAGCACATTTACTAGTAGAAACTCATTTGTTCAAGAAAAAGTTTCCATCCTGCTCCTTCTAATTTTCTTATAATTGCAGTCCAAAACAAAAAGGGCAGCACAGTGGCTAAGTGGTTAGCACGTCCACCTGGCAGTACTAGGGTCGCTGGTTCGAATCTCAGCCACAGCATTACCTGCCTGGAGTTTGCATGTTCTCCCTGTGCCTGCGTGGGTGGACTCCGGTTTCCTCCCACACTCCAAAGACATGCTGGTAGGTGACATGGCTCTTGTCTAAATTGTCCCTAGTATGTGTATGTATGAATGTGAGTTAGGGACCTTAGATTGTACGCCCCTTGAGGATTAGGGACTGATGTGAATGTACAATATATACAAAAAGCGCTGCGTAAATTGACGGCGCTATATAAGTACCTATAATAAAAATAAATAAAATGTTGATTTGATTCCACTAACCATTAGAAAATCAAACAATTGCTCTTGATATGAACATTCTTAGATTAAATTCTACTAGTCAATGGCCAGATTTACGGTTTTCATATGGCTGTTGTGTGATCTGCAATGTTGCTTCTGAACTACAAGGAAGGCCTGGGAAAATGTATTTGCAGTTTCGGCAGCAAATGAAATGCTTCTCCCTGCAACTCCACAACAAAGGGGGTATGTAAACTTGATATATTGTTTTTACACAGACTTTCAGTAGTAAAGCTTGTAGCAATATATGAGAAAAAGGGAAAATTAAACTCAAGCAGAACAGAGCTTACGGTATAACGCACAACAGTTGGCCAGGAAGGTGAAAAGAACCCGACTTAAAATAGAAGGATATTTTGTGATAGCTCTAGGTCACGGGGGGGCAACTGTGGCCCTCCGGCTGTTGGTGAACTACAAGTCCCATCATGCCTCTGCCTTTGGGAGTCATGCTTGTAACTGTCAGTTTTGCAATGCCTCATGGGACTTGTAGTTCTATAACAGCTGGAGGGCCACAGTTGCCCACCCCTGATCTAGGTCAACCAAAGCTTTGTCTATGCAAGGCAGGTTCACTTAACCACATTCCAAAACAATCATTTGATCAACTTTGAAATCTTTTCTGTAACAGTCAAGATTTTTACTGCCCCAAACTAGCTCTTGAGTATCTTTTATGTCCTTTTATTTGGATGGGTAGTTCACCAGTCAATAATGAGGAAGGGGGCTGGACCAAGCATGACTTTTTAACCCTGAATGCCACCATTGCACCTATGCATTTTTTATATGTGTATTTAATTTGTGTTGCCCAGGCTTGATGCAAATGAGAGACAAAAGGTGTTTTTTAAAGTTGGCAAGAGTTACAACCCCTGACCTTAGAAGGGTTTCATACAATTAGGGGGAATCTCTCCAACATAGACACCAATACAAACATTTTAGTAAAGTGTGTGTGTGTATGTGTTGGAGGGGCGGTTGACACGGGGTAGTAGCTCCTCTTTCAGTAACCTATTGCAGTTTTCGTCCCCATTGAGCTTTCCCAGGACTTCCTGTTCTTTGACAGGTTCTAGACAGTACAGGGAGTAAGGGATAAACATCCCAACAGGGACACAGGAAACATTTAAAACCTGTTTGAAGTTCTAAATGATGGACTTTAATGCTCCAGCCCTACCTTCTGTCTTGCACAGTTGTACAAGTCCCTCTCTTGCACTAAACTGCTTACTTTGGTTTAACTGAATACTGTGAGCTTTTCACAATATGCATTAGAAGCTGCAGCAAGTCTGATAGGGCCACCTCATTTCCTGGTTGCAGGATGTCCAGCATCATCCAAGCGCTTTCCTCTTTAGCCTTACTATCCCTGGCCCAAATCTTTCATTCTTTGAATTTCAGTTTTTTCAATTAGGGCTCAGTTTCACATGTAGGCGTAACCGAGGGTGGTCTGCTGGCTAATGCATATGCATTTTAACCAAACAGGGTGCTAAAGTGGTATTTTGTTGGTTCTCCAGATGACAACAGAAATGAAACACCAGGCAGTCAACATGTTTCAGGGGCTCAGCACTTCCCTGTCATCAGGGCTTTAATATAAACTAGATATCAGTTAATCTTTAACAAGGTGCCTGTGTCAGTAGCAGAGCAGCATGCCCTGCCACCTTTTTTAAAGATGATCCTCCTGGTTTGGATTTAAAGTGTCATTACACCCAGTATATGAAAAACTCTCATTACATACTATATAAAAGAGTGTGCATAGTCACAAAGGCACTAAAGCACTCGGTTTGTGTAGAGTGAAATATACCTGGTTGATCCTGCCTTCACTTGTCCCTCCCATCTTCTCTGTGTCCCCATTGCATCCTGAGATTGTGTAGACCAGCTGGTGTCCTACTGAGCATGCTCATATTTCAGTTCCATTCTAAGTTCTTAATTTCCTCCTTTTTCTTATCTGTGCATCCCATATGACACATGGATGTATACACAGTGGTAAATGACACTTCCCTCCCTCCTCCTCCATGTCCTCCTATTGATAAACACTATGGGGGTGGCCTATAGCATGCTGATTGATTACATTCGCTAAGAAACTCACAAAAAAAGCTTAGTTTTTCATATAAATCATTATTAAATATATCAAAAGCAATTGCTAATAGCTGTAAAGTAAAAAAGAGCCATGGATGCAGATGCTATGTGAACAAAATTAAAGCTAGTGTCAATCATCTTTGACTCTGCCTACACCATATTAATGCACAAAAAATGCACATTTGATGTTCAATAAAGATTTATAGGTATTTTTGGTATTTATAATTTAATTTGAATTTCTATTCTGAAAGAAGAGCTCTTCTTTTTTTAGACCTGGCCAGACACAGACTCATACTGTAGAGGCAATACATCAGCAAAGTAACAGAAGCCCCTCCCAAGGATCTTTCCCTGCAAATACCAAAGACCAGAGAAAGATCATGTGACCATACAACAGAGCTGCAGGAATAAGGTACTTAGTGAATTAAAAAAACAAAAAAAAAAAACAAAATACAGTGGCATGATATATATGATTTATGTGAAT